TTCCCTTCCCTTCCCCTCCCCTCCCCTTTCCTTCCTTTTCTTTTCTTAAGTAGGTTCCATGCCCAGCACAGAGCCCAGTGTATGGCATGTACTCAGGGCCACGAGAGATTGTGACCCTGAGGTCAAGAGACAGATGCACACAGGCACTCCCGGGACAAGGCTTTCTGAGAGCAGCCCTGGTTTGCAGGCTCAGTGAGTCTTACCACCTTGCAAAACACATGCTCTTTCTCCTTAGCTGCGATGGCCGGTTTCAGTAGGATGACCATGTACTTTTGGCGATGAAAGAAGGAACCGTTAAGGATTGTGTAAAGATTATGTCCAAATCAGACTATCCAAGGCAAAGTGGGCCTTCCCTAGGTTTAGGGAAGACCTGCTGATAGGAGGAAAGGCAGCAAGAAAACGAGATGACAGGTCTGTCAGAACCAGAAACGGTCACATTAGCTTCTGTGAACAGGAAGTCCAATGCTTGCAAGAGAAATGGAAGAGTTCAGCCCATTGATGGTTTAAACTGAAGTACTTCTCTAAATGCCTACCACAACCCCACACACCCCCGGCGAGGCTTGCTGTGAACCTTCAATGCAGTAATGTTTGTCGAGTGCTTAGTTGAGCCTGACCCAGAGAAAGTGTTCATCATGGTGGCCAAAGGCGGTGGAAGAGAAAGGACAGCCTGAGTAGCTGCGGGAGTGGTAGGACGGTGGTGTTGCTGTGCCGTCTGGGAGGAAGTGTGAATGCAAGGCCTCTCCAAGGGGCTAGAAGGTCAGCATGAGCAACCTGGTCCCCTGAGGAAGGAGCAGGAACAAAAGGATGGGGGCGAGTTGCTATGGAGTAAGGTGGAGGTACATGGGACCCTCTGCGGTTTGGGTTTGCAAATTTAGCTCCCCATGGGCAGCATGGGATGTGGATCAAACACACCTGAAATTAAATACTGACCTGCTGCTTCCCAGCTGTGAGAACTTAGCATCATTATCTAAATTTTCTGACACCACCACCGCCCCCCCTCCAGGGGCTCCTTATTTGTGACACGCAGAGGATAAAAGCCACCTCTAATGGTCTCGGGGAGGACTGAATGACTGCATGTGGTTAAGTGGCAGGCACAAAGTACTTGCTCAGCAAAGTAGTTGTCGCAACCCCAGGATTTCACATATAATGAGGGGGAAACTGCAGTAGGCAAGATTGAAAGAAAACACACATGCTTCATACTCTTTCTTGAAACCAGGTTGTTGTTTGTTTGTTTTTTAATGTTTATTTTTGAGACAGAGAGAGCACACACGCTGGGGAGGGGCAGAGAGAGTGGGGGGCGGGGACAGAGGATCTGAAGCAGGCTCTGTGCTGACAGCAGCGAATACCCACAAACTGTGAGATCATGACCTAAGCAGAGGTCTGACGCTTAACCAACCGAGCCACCGGGCACCGCTGTTGTTTTCAATACATTGAGCACAATGCTTAGAAAGCCACTTGTAAAGAAAACAACATCAAAAGCACACTAAACCCTAAGCATCATGCATTGATCTCTATTTTAGACTTATTCACAGAGTGTGCCTTTGTAACTTACACCCTTCAACTCGAAGGCCAGACCCTGTCCATGGTGTCCTCGAGCTCTACAGTTTCACTACATGTGAAGGCCTATGGCCAAACCCCAGGGTGACGTCAGAAGGCATGATGGGTCCTCGTGGACACACAGGACAGTGCAGGAGCTGGAAGTGTGGGGAGGGTCAGGCCCTAGCAGAAGTTACTTCCTGGAGTCCAACAGCTGTGTGATGGGGGGGGGGTGACGTGACCCAAGTTATATGTTGACAAGATTACTCTGGAAGCAGCAGGTAGGAAGCGTGCCAGGGAGAGCCCAGAGGATGGGGGTCATTTAAAGACTTTAATTCCAGGGTGGCTGGAATTCTACCTGGGTGGCTCAGTCGGTTGAGCGTCGGACTTGGGCTCAGGTCGTGATCTTGCGGTTTGTGCAGAACCCGCTTTGGATCCTCTGTCCCCCTCTCGCGGCCCCTCCCCCACTCGTGCTCTCCCCCTCCCCCCCAAAAATATGAAAATAAAAAGACTTTAATTCCAGGAAAAACACAGAGAAAACTCTACTTGCAGTGGCAGCAGTATAAATAGAAAGCAGGTGGTCAAAGCCAGCAACATGGCAGTGATAAAAGCTACAGATTTCAAATAGGTTATATCAACTTAATAGTTCATTCTCCCACCTGGCTGTGTCACCATGGCTCGGGACAACCCGCCTTCAGGCTTCAGGTCCCGTTATCTTCCACCCCGTCCCAAGTGCCAACCCGGAAAACTGATGTACCTGCCTCCTCTTGGCTTCCCTGTAGAACAGCAAACTGAGACCACCCACGTCTACACAGCCTCATCGTTTGTTCTGTGAAAATGTTTGCCCAGGAAGACAAGGGCTTACGTCAATATCTCATGTCACTGTGTGCCACGGGAAATCCCGATCAACTGATAAAACGATTGGTCTTATCTAAGCAAACGGCTCCGCTATGGGAACAATACGCTTTGCTCATCTGCTCAGACAGCTTCTTCGTAGACAAGTTTCCTTCTCAGGAATTGCTCATTCCTATAACGTCACAAAATTTGTCACCCCAAATTAGTTACCCATCATCAAAGCCTACCCTAAACCACTTAAACCCAGACCCCCACACCTTGCAGATGCCCTCCCTGACCTCCCCCTTCTGAGTTACTTCCAAGACTGTCAGTAGGAACTCTCCCTTCCGGCGGCCAGCCTAATGAACCTAACTTGGGCCAAGAGGCTTTGTGGGAACTCATTGGTGCAGCACCGTAGCGTATCAATAAACCCTAGCAACTTAAGCTAAACCACACACCATTCCTCCTGTTTTGGCTGCACTGCCCAGCTTGAACCCCTGCATTGAGGCCGTCAGGGTCACGAGTACCATATAATGCTTCTAAGCTGTGAGACCTTCCTCCTTCCTCACACCACTCCCCGCAGCCCCACAACACAGCATGCTCTTCAGGTGTCTTATTTCTCCTTTTCTTCTCAATTTTGAGCTGTTTGTGCATTTTTTTTTTTTCTGTTTGTTTTAGGAATTGATCTGTATTTCCTAGGTAGATGCCTACATTGTGCCTTGTACGGGGACTGACACAACAAGCTCATTCTAACACTGTTTTTAAAGATTCCCAAAGCACTTAAGGTGAAACAGTCAAAGGAAATGTAAAATCTAAATTTTTCCCCCTTAAAGCAAAATTCAAAGAGTAAGATCTCTCTTATAATTTAGAGTTGTATTTGATTTTACAAAACGGCTCCTTCTAGTTCTTTTCAGAGTGCTTGACGATTATGTTTTGGTCTCTTTCGTGCTGTTCACACACACAGGCTCACGCACACACACCCTCACATCAAAGTGTGTCAGCTGCCGTGCACCAGGATTGTCCTTTCCTGTTGTGACAACTATCTTCTTTCTCTCTTGTCTTCTGTACCTTCTATTGGGTGTTTTGAGATATTTATCTGCTTCTTTCCCTTATCATAAATCCTACTAGAAACATGTCCCAGGCACTGTGCTGGGTCCTCTATGCATGTAGTGGGGATCCTGCCCGAGGGGAGCCCAGGTCTGGATGTGCTGCTGAGGGAGAACAGGTTTCAGCACACCACCAGTATCTAGACAGATTCCTTATTTTGCACAAGCACCCTGTTTCTCATTACAGCTTAGTTATAAACAGATGAAGACTGATGGATCGGTTTGTGATGGAAGCAAAATAGCATTACGGGACGACAAACCTGGAGAGAAAAGTCATCAAAAGGAAGTACAACAAGTCAGGCATGGTGGGACAGACTCAGCAAGAATGCCTGTGTGCCGGTGGCAGGGAGGAGGGGAACCAACCCTAGATATCCTTGGCCTCATGGTGGCAGCCGGCTATGTACGTCTTAAGACCTGAGCAAGATAAATACGAACAAACAAACATGCCCAAAGCTCTCTTACCTTGCCACATTTCACTCTAGTGACAAGGTTCCCCTCTTCCACGTTGTCACCATAACAACCACATCCTATACCAAGCGACAGAACCATCATCAGGAAAGACGGAAGAACCAAATGCACCCAATGACTCTCCCGTTCAATTTAGCCTCAAATTTCCTGTGTCATTCTGTTTCTGTGAGCGTTAGTATCCTGAGATACATGATAACCTGCCTGTGAATCACTGACAACTTTCCAGCTGAATATGAGCTTTATTCTACATGTTACCACAAGATCAGGGGAGTTTCTTTGACCCTCTGCAAATATTAACTGATCAACTTGATATTAAGTGAATATAAAATATAAATTTGGATGAAGACAAAGTGAAAATTGCTAAGACAATAGGAAATGCAGAGGGACAGTGGGTATATCCCAGGGGAAATAGGGATGAACGCTTTCTTTCTCTCTCTCTCTTTTTTAATGTTCATTTATTTTTGAGAGAGAGAGAGAGACAGTGCATGAGCTGGGGAGGGGCAGAGAGAGAGAAGGGGACAGAGGATCCGGTGGAGGCTCTGCATTGACAGCAGCAAGCCTGATGCGGGGCTCGAACTCACGAACTGTGAGATCATGACCTGAGATGAAGTTGGAGGCTCAACCAACTGAGCCACCCAGGCACCCCAGGAAGAACTCTTTCCAAGCATCTTGGCTTCCAGACTTCTGCTGTAGGGAACACCCTCTACCCCAGTCTAATTGGAAACCCTTTACAAGAGTACTTGAAGAGTACTGTTGACCTGAACAGTTACCCTCATACCACAATTAGAGTCATTGCTTAGAACTGGTTGGACCTAAAATTATGTTTTGGACTTCAACAGGGTGGATGGCCCCTCTCAAAATTTTAGTCAGGAGAAGATTAAGTTGGACTCTTGATTTTGACTCAGGTCACAATCCCAGGGTCGAGGGATCTAGCCCCACATCGGGCTCCACACTTAGCATGGAGCCTGCTCGGGATTCTCCCTCTCTCTCTCGCTCTGTCTCTCCCCCTCTGTCCCTCTCCCCCACTCACTCTATCTCTCAAATAAAAAATAAAAAATAAAAACAAATGAAATGTAACCCGAGATTAAGTGTCCCTTATCTTAATGACTCAAAAAATATTCTTTAGAAATTTATTTGTAAGCAACTTTTACTGCCCAATGTTCTGTTTATGCACATACTGTTGCCCGGTCCACCCCATTATCAATAAAAATCTCTTAATAGGCTGCCAGTGCATGTGTGGGTTAATTATTTTGCCTTTTTAAAATAATGAATCATTATTAATGTGACTTGAAGGGACAACAACATGGCTATTTAACACATTACATGACCTGCAAACACCTCGTTCTCAATCTATCTACAGACAAATGTATAGATACACTGTATACATAGATACATCACTTTATACATAGATATATCACTACATATATCTACCCATCTCACAATAGCCCGGATGTTGCAACCACCTCTCGAATGTCTCCATGATTCTCTCCTCATTCTCTTTTTCTCTCTTTTTCATACTCCAACCAAAGTGATTTTCTGAAAATGTAAAAACGGTAATTTCATCTTCCTGTGAAAATCATTCTTGTGACTCTTTACTGATGAAGTTCAAGACAGCTTCCTGATTTTTTTTTTGCTTGTCTCTCCAACGGGCATCATCTGCTGCTCCGTCTCCCTCTTCCTCTCTCCCCCAGCCCGTGGGAGCCCTCGCCATTGCCTCAGTGCTCCAGGCTGACTCATGGCCTGCACCCGTGTCCGTGCTGGCTGTGCTGGACCACCTGGCCTGCCGTCTGCTACCTGGTGAGCTCCTGTCCACCCTTTAGAACCCATTCTGTGTCCCCTAATGAGGCTGTAAATTGTTTGGGGACAGGGTGTGCGTCTAGTTTTATCTTTCTTGTGCTTAGTACAGTATACATGGTATATAATAATTGTGCAATATGTGTAAACTGATGAGTGAATCAGTGGAACTCTTGAGGATCTTTTAATAGACTATAGGGAACCTGGAGAACAAACCCTTTAGGTTGTCCTCAAATTTCAGATTCATGTAATTTCTTTTCCTTATGAACTCCTAAAGCTAATGGAGAACCCAAAGGACGAGTGTTAAAGAAAGCCACTTCCAAATCCTCTTTTAAATATGTTTGCCAAGCACTAAACTTGTATTCATTAGTATGAAACAAATATAAATTAAGAGCAACCATCCTCTCTTAACAGAATGTGAGCCATTTAATCTTGGGTTCACATAAAGCTCACTGCAGTCATATGTAAGTAGATCAATGGACCAGAAACAAGTCCAAGGACAGAGGCATATATATTTAGAATTTAGAATACAAAATCTCTTATTACAAGTAAGGAAACAACAGTGTATTTAGTAAATTGTAAGTAAGTAAGATTTCTTACTCATACCATGTACAAATATGAATTACAGAACTAAACATACAACAAAACTATACCTAGAGGAAATGAACATTTTTTATAATTTGGGATGGGGAAGGCTTTTCTAAGAATAACATGAAATCCAGAAGCCATAGGGGAAAATATTGACAGATTTAACTACATAAAAATTTAAAACCATTGTTTGGTTAAAATGTATTACGAATAAAGTTTAAAAAGCAAACAACAGATTGGGAGAAAATATTTGCAACACATTTAAAAAAAGAATAATATCTAAATTATGGTTTATAAAAAAGTTACAATATAAAAATGTAAAAAAAAAAGGTCAAATAGACAATGCACAGAGGAAGAAATAGAAATGACTATTAAGCATTTGGAAAAATATTCAGTCAAAAGTTTAAAAAAATACCAATTAATGAGACACCATTTTCACTCACTAAATTGGTGAACTGATAAAGGTGGAAAGTACTCACTATTGGCAAGGATATGGACATTGTCATTCACTATTGTAAAACGCAAGTTTTTATAAAATATTTGTGAAATAATTTTTTTACTGCTTATTAAAATTTTATACATGTATGCCTAATGATTTAACTTGTGGAAGTATCTATAGCATTTGATGTAATAATGTATAATACCTTCTTATTTGGAGTGCTGGAAAATTGGATTCAGGTTTAGTATATATCAACAGAATCGTGGTAACATAGAAAATTGTACCTATAAACTATGGGATACTGTGTTGGCGTTCAAAAGCATAGATAGATCTATATACTAACGTGTATTGTTACATAGAGTGAAGTGAAAACAGCAGACTGAAGTCCCCCCCATATTATATCTTCTGTGTACATATGTATGTTCATCTATTTATTTATTTATTTATTTTTTTTTTAATTTTTTTTTTTAACGTTTATTTATTTTTTTTGGGACAGAGAGAGACAGAGCATGAACGGGGGAGGGGCAGAGAGAGAGGGAGACACAGAATCGGAAACAGGCTCCAGGCTCTGAGCCATCAGCCCAGAGCCCGACGCGGGGCTCGAACTCACGGACCGCGAGATCGTGACCTGGCTGAAGTCGGCCGCTTAACCGACTGCGCCACCCAGGCGCCCCTATGTTCATCTATTTATAATGTGTATATACATAATACAAAGTCTAAAGATACATTTACCCAATTTTTACCTTTGCGGAAAGGGATGGATTGTAATTATGGGGAGATTCTTCATGTTTGACTTTATCTACTTCTTTATTATTTTTTTTCTTTCCAACGTGAACATGTCTTATTTGCAAGAATAACAGTTAAAGATAAAAAACTTTTGTAAGTGTACCACTAGCTAGGACTCTTGTGATCTATCATGATATCACTGAACAAAGATGGCTTAACCACAGCAAAAGAAGGTGGACAGAACAGGGTCTGGATGAACTCTTCAAGGCTACTGGTGCTCACGGGGGGGCAGGGCAAGGCAGACTTTTTTGCATCAATAAGACTGGGAAGAAGTACACTCAATACCTAGAACCAAGTATTCAGGGACAATGGTGAGAGGAAAAGGTCATGGCTAAGAGCCAGTGTCCACAATCCCAGAGGTTTACAGGATAGCCTCACCCCAGGTGGCAGACTAGGACGGGAAACTCGAATGTGGTTGGCGGCAGGAATCAGAGGACCAGACAAAGTCCTTGAGTGCAGGGGATGGACCTCAGCCCCTAGGCTGGGCCACGGGAAATAGCAAGAACAAAAGAGAACCTCCAGAGCACTCATCAACCTGAATCAGAGGGCATGACATAGGCCACAGCTACAGACCCATCAAGAGAAAGGCAGGGGCGCCTGGGTTGTTCAGTCGGTTAAGCCTCTGACTTCAGCTCAGGTCATCATCTCATGGTTCATGGCTTTGAGCCCCATGTCCGGCTCTGTGCTGACAGCTCGGAGCCTGGAGCCTGCTTCAGATTCTGTATCTCCATCTCTCTCTGCCCCTCCCACACTCACGCTCTGTCTCTATCTCTCAAAAATGAATAAACGTTAAAAAATTAAAAAAAAAAAAAAAGAAAGAAAGGCAGACCCCAGTTTTAGAACAGTGGTAATTTTACATTTTAGAACAGTATCCATTTTACATAATAAATCATGACCACTGACCAGTGTGTGGGGCAGGCAGGGCCAGGCCTACATCCGAGTGTCACATGTTCTGAACTCTGGGAAAGAAGGCTGTGGAGAGGAGGGCACACAGGCAAGTGTTGGTGCCATTCAGGGTAACTGAGAAAGTGCTGCAGACCTTGGCCTCTTAGGTGGCTCTCTTAAGTTGTACAGTCAGTCAAAATGTGTTGGTCTAGATTGTGGATCAAACACAGGACTCTGCAACACAATCTGAAGAAATATGAGAAATAGTGCTGACTCAAACTGAGCGTTTCTAGAATTCCTGATAAATATTCCTCAGAAAAGTCTTCTTATTTTGTGGGCCATTAGGAATTGAGAGATGGGTCACACATCTCCACTTGAGGTCTAAGCCCGTCGATCTTGACGGTTCTCTCTCCTGAACTTTCTGGAAGCCAGTATTTACCTGTAATTGATGGAGTAGCAAGCAAAAGGAAGAGACATCAGTGCTGTCTTAGATTTATGACCTCTTTTTTCACTCAAGGTAAGGACTCCAGAATTCAGAATACTATATTCTTATCTGATGCACAGGACTAGATTAAATGTTGAACTACATGATCGATGAAGCTGAATTAATTAACGTCAGTCCTCAAATAAATTGCTTATGATGAGAAACAATGAAATTTAGGAAAGTAGATGTGATACATCATTATTCCTCTTCATTTAACCCAGCGAGAGGTGGGCCAGAGGAAGACACATCACATCAATGAGAAAAATGGGCAGACCTGGTGATACATTTACCTTCATTTCCTTCTCAGAGTTGTGAGAAATGGTTCTCATGAACCTAAAGTTCATATTTAGTGTACAAACAATCTCCATGCTTTCATTTAAAGGCAATCTGGCTTGTTCTGTCTGGCGATAATATACCCTTCATTTTAGCAACACAAATTTGCATGGAAAATTGGGGAAAGTTTTCAATGGCTGGAATGTTAAAGCTTTAACATATATCTGGTTAAGTCCTGGATGGGATAAGCTCCCCTGAAGCCTGGAACACATGACAGCATGGGATTCAGTTTTCTTCCAACTTGGCTCACGTGCATTCAGAAGTCAAAGCCAGACCATCCCCAGGAAGCACAGAGTCTTGTCTGATGATCAAGTCCTCGGTTCTTTCCTAGTCACCATCTCTCTGTTCTCTGCGAGGAACGGGTGCTCAGTGGCCAAGCAGAGAAACATCCTGACTTAGAGAGATTCCAGGGTGCAAGGCATCACCCAGGTATGTCAGAGAGGAGAAATTCCTTCAGAATGCAAAATTGTAGTTTGCTGATCCTGTCACCAACTGATATGCAACCAAAATATTTTTTAAATTCATTAAACGAATACACATGTGCTAGGTTGGGTGTTGAGGACACCATAGTGAGTAAGTCAGGATTCCAGTCCTGGAGAGATTAATGGTCAGGACGGTAGACACCTGAACAAATAATGGAGAAGGTGCAATAACAGAGAAAAATCAAAGTGCTGTGGGAACATTTCATATGCGTGTGGGAGGTGGAGATGTCCTCCCAGAAAGAATGCCTTCAGGCAGTGCTCAGAATAGATAGGTCACTGGTCGGAGGGAGAAGGGTGTGTGAGATAGATGGAAATGCAAAGGAAAGGCATAGAAGCCTGCAGTATAGGCTGATTCTAGGCCTATCAGATTGTCAATGATTAAAAAATGTATATGATACTGTGTGGGCAACAGTGTTGGAAACAAGCCCCTTCACATTTGCTGGTACAAGCCCTATTGAGGACAACTGGGCAGATCGCTCATGACCACAAATGCACCTATGCGTAATTTAGCAATTTGTCCTTTAGGAAATTGTCCTAGAGATACGCTGATGCAAACTGTAACAGGTCAATCACTGTAGCATAGTTTGTGACAGCAAACTATGGGAAATAGTTTAAGTGTATGTCACAGGGAACCGGGGAAATGAACTTCGGCGTAGTTTCACAATGCTACACTACGGTGTCATAAAAGAATGAGAAGGCTCTTGGGGTGCCTGAGTGGTTCAGTTGGTTAAGCAAATGACTTGATCTCAGCTCAGGTCATGATGTCATGATTTGTGAGACGGAGCCCCGTGTCGGGCTCTGTGCTGACAATGCAGAGCCTGCTTGGGATCCTCTCTCTCCCTCTATCTCGGCCCCTCCCCCACTTGCGCATTTTCTCTCTCTCTCTCTCTCTCTCTCTCTCTCAATAAAAATAAATAAACATCAAAAAAATAAAAATTAATAAAAATTAAAGAGAAGGCTCTTTATAATTTGTGTTGGAATGATCTCTAAGACATATTACTAAGGAAAAGCACAAACTATAGAACAGCA